TAGGGAAATGGTGTACCTGGGGATGGACTCCCTCTTCCCTTCTTTTGAGCCAAATAAAAGGGAAATATCTAGTTTACTGATTGAATCTTCTGCAGTCAGCAGCAAGACTATTTGCACACCAAACTTTTCATCCTGTCAGAAAATGTGCCAGACTGCAGAGAAAGCAATACTACAGAATAGGTGATGGCAGCTTATAACAAAATCCTGAATTACTGTGTGGTTTCCCAGTGTCAAATACAATCTCTCTTTAGACTCCTTTTCTGTTATAAACAACAGGACAGACAGCAAGGTGAAAATGGGAAATTGAGAAGAGATAAGGCAAAATTGAAGCTGTTCTCAGTTATCAGGGCTTTTCTTCATCATATTAAGAGAAAAACCTAACATTTCATAGAATCATAGAATGTTTGTGTTGGATTGGGTCTGCAAAGGTGGTCTAATCCAAACCCCCCTGCTATAAGCAGGGACATCTCCAACTAGATCAAGCTACTCAGAGCCTCAACAAGCCTGACTTTGAATGTCTCCAGGGATGGGGCCTCCACCCAATAGATTGCTCTCTGGGCAACCAATTCCAATGGTCTATCACCCTCATATTGAAGAACTTTTTCCTAACATCTAACCTAAATCTACCCTTTTCTAGCTTAAAGCCATTACCCCTCATCCTGTCACTACAGACCCTTGTGAATAGATCCTTCCTTGCTTTCATGTAGGCTCCAAATGCTGCCATAGTCTTGTGTTCTCCAAACCATTACCTGTCACACACCTGAGACATTAGCTAACAGTTGTTAAGATGGGTCAGAATCAAAGGACTTGCTAGAAAAAAAAGAATGCAATATTTACAATATGCTAAAAGGTGAAAATAGGGGTGTAACCACCTCTCCTTGGCATATTTAATAACTATGCTCTGAAGAAGAGATGCTGTGAGAGGGACACTTTGGGTCTCTGCAGTGAGGCCATCTGCCCTGCTAAGCTTCACATCAGACACTGGGGAACTGTAGAATGTCTGGGCTGGAAGGGACCTCCAAAGGTCATCTAGTCCAACGCCCCTGCCATAAGCAGGGACATCTCCAACTAGACCACGCTACTCAGAGCCTCATCCATCCTAGTCTTGAATGTCCCCAGGGATGGGGCCTCCACCACCTTTCTGGACAACTTATTCCAGTGGTCTATCACCCTCAAACTGAAGAACTTTTCCCTGATGTCTAGCCAAAGAGAGCTGCATGCATGTGTATTTTTTTGGCCCCTGAATACAGCAATCCTTCCAAAAGGACGTCTTCTCTACACCAGCACTCTGAAACACAAGGGACATTACTGCAAACGCCACTTTGGTGCTCTGAAAAGCTAACCAGGGAGCAGGCTGTGAGAGGGCACAATTTGGGTAATGTGGGTGTCTCCCTCACGTACACCCACTGGGTCAGAAGAATCCAAATGTGCAGAGCGAATACGGCTGCAGTGAGATTGTGAAATGTCTTTTCCTTTTGTGTAGCTGGCATCAGGCTTGGGCCATGTGCAGATAAACTGCATTACCTGCAGAGTCTAATCCCCTTAGACATTGTAATTGCATTTCCAGGTTCAGGTCTCACGTGCTTTGTAGCTTTGGGATATCTTATGTTATGCGATAGGAGAGGTTACAGAGGTTGAATTTGGACTAATGAATTTCTGTTGAAATAAGCTTGAGTCATCTAGTACTGACAAGAAGTTTAATATAAAATGGCATTCATGGGCAGGAGGAAAATAAAGGCACTGCCAACCTGAAAGAGATCACTATGAAATGGTTTCTCTTCTGCCAGTGCTCACCCAAGGAAGTGAGAGTCATGGAGGAGTCTCTGGCAGACACTTACAGCTCTCAAATTCATGGGCCCCTCTGAAAACTGGTTGTGTGCCAAAGGCACTGTACAAATACCAGTTATAATTACTCAGGGACTGGCAAGAGGGAGCTCAATTTCTCTTAATCCTAGCAGCTTTGCATAAATGCCATAGGAGAGGTCAGCTTCATAGCACTTGACACACCTTGATATTTTTTTCCTACTTGATAGCAATTAAAAATGAATGATTTGTTGCTTCATTCACTCTTCCTTTTAATAACTGAACATCAGAGCATGTTGAAAAAAAGTTCTAATATAAATTGTCTATGAAGAGGGATGTTAGAGTTGCTGCAAATAATAAAAACTTGCTAAAGGCCACCCTCCAATGAGTCTCAAAGTGTCCACCAAAGTGGGTACTTTCTGTCCTGCCTAACAGGTGTCAGATGCTTTACTCAAGCTGCATATTTGGGCAGCAGAAATTCAGCTTTATTTAAATGTAAACTGAATGACTGCAATTGCAATGTATGAAAAAGTGGAGTCAAATAGAAAAGCTGAAAGTTAAATAAATTGCTTTGGTTTTCATTTTTGTCAATCACATAATTTTAAATTAATGCTGCATTTACGTAATACTATAATCACTTAATGCTGAAATACTCTTTAGATGAATGTATTTAATTTTATTTGGATTGGATGGTATATTCTCACATCATATTGTTGAAATTAAAATTGTCAGTGCTTCACAGCAATGTTTTTTATTTCTTCTGTAATAAATTCCTGCT